CCAGCTTGAACTGCATAGTGAGACCCTGTCTTAAAAAGACCAAAAAAAAAAAAAAAAAAAAAAAACAAAAATCCCAGAAACTTTTACTTTACATCATCCTTTATTGTCATGCTGGCCTTGGGTCTCACAGGCACCAGAGAAGGCGCCGATGCAGGTTTTGTTGCTGTGACCTGTCCTGTCTGCTGGGAGGGAGCCCTGCCCCCAGCCTGCAGACCGTGTGCTTACCCAGAGAGCCAGTAGCGCGCGGGGCAGGCTGGATTGGGCCCGCAAGAGCTCCTCTTTTCCCCTGCTGTCTGATGCAGGAATCATCAGGGCAGAGCTGGAAATCGGGAGGCACGATGGGTGCAAGAAGGCCCTGACCCAGGGCCTTACCTCCTGGCAGCCGAGTCCCCAGGCTTCGCGTTGGCCGCTCCAGCCTTCTCCGCGCCGCCGCTACACTTGGCTGTGTTTCAAAGGATGGCATCTTGCAGGGCTTTGGGGGTAACACATTCTTCTGAAGCTTGCTTTCCCCCTTAATATGGTGAGGTTTTTTTGTTTTCCTCGTATTGAGGATCGGACCCAGAGCTTTCACACTGAGCTACATTCTCAGCCCTTTTTCTTTTCTTTTTTTTGAGGGACCAGGTATATAGCTGAGCGGCATAAGCACCTTCCTGGCAAATGCAAAGTCCCGAGTTTGATCCCTGATACCACAAAAAAAAAAAAAAAAAAAAAAAGAAAGAAAGAAATAATCTTTGAGACGAGGCCTTGGTGGGTTGCCAGGCTGCCCCCGCAGCACCACTGGCCAGCTAAGCTCCCTCAGTCCGCTTCCCTCGGCAGTCCCCACCCCACCCCACCCCACCCCCGCAGCGCGGCAGCCCTTTGCGTTCTGCAGCCGGCCTAGTCCTCTCCTCCGGAGTGTGCAGCTTACTCTGGACTTTTGCTTTCCCGTGCATGGGCGTGGTGCAGCAGGAGAATTACGAGCCTTTTTTATTCTTTGTTTTTTGCTACAATAGAACTCAGGACCTTGTGTTCGCCAGGCAGGCGCGCGTGGGCTGAGCTATCGTCGAAGCAGGGACCTTTTTTGGAAGTTAGCCAGGTAGCAAATATTTTAAATTATATAAATAAGAAAAATTTCCATACTTTTTTTTGACAAATTCAACACTTCATGGACGTTGAAATTTGAGTTTCATATTTTTCTGGGTTTTTTTTTTGGAATACTAAGGTTTGAACTCAGGACCTCCCACATACGAGGCTAGGAAAATGTTCTATCATTGAGCTACGCCCTACTCCCTCTTTTTTTGGTCTTTTTAAGGCAGGGTCTCGAAGTATGGTTCAGGCTGGCCTTGAGCTCACTTTGTAGCCCAGGCTGGTCTTGAACTTGCAGCGATCCTTCTGCCTCAGCCTCCTGAGTGCTGGGGTATTTCTTCTCCTGCTGGATCCCCTTTATCCTGAATCTCTAGCTGAACAGCAGAGTGGGATGCAGGCCCCTTGGGGCTGCCTCACAGGCTGCCACTTGCTCAGGTGACTCCACTGCTCAAGGCTAGGAAACTATTTGCCAGAGAGGCCCTCATTCCTCTGTCTCCCCGATGCCAAGGCCAGTGTCACTCACTATACTGTCACCATGCTAGTTTCTGTGGTGGAAGAGAACCACTCTGCACCGAGCCTTCAGTTACAGGCTCCCCACGGCGAGTTCCCTGGCCGCTGCACAGGGACAAACACCTGCACCCCAAACTCACGCTCTGTGCTGCCTTCTCCCAGCAGGATGTGGACAGTTCAGCTCCTGCGGGGCTGGAGTAGGGTGGGGTCTCACCTGCCCCTCCTCCGGTGGCCTGCTGTTATGATTTGTGTATAGGTGTCCCCACAAAGCCTCAAGCAGTTACAGGCATTTCTGGAGTTTATGATTCATTACTGTGGGTGTGGATGCTGCACCTGCCCTGGGGCAGGTGATTTGCATTACAATATAAGCGGAGAGAGTCTAGCTAGGTGCCTCAGCAGCTGCCACTCCCCTTTGCTCTCTGCTCTTTGCCACTGCCTCTGCCAAGTGCTGCTCTGCCTTGGAGCCAGCTGAGTATGGACCGAAACCTCCAGTAACTGTGAGCTAAATAAACTTTTCCTTCCTTCACTTTGGGTCTCAGGTATTTGTCCCAGCAATGAGAGAAGAGTAACTCAGACACCTGCGCATGGTGGGGGTGGGGCGCAGGTGTCTGAGTTACTCTTCTCTCATTGTCCCCTTCCCTGCCCCACGCCAGAGCACAGAAGCCAGCTCAGATTTGCAGCATTTTTATTCCTAAATAAATTATCCAGTGACATGACTTTGACCCATTTGGACCAACTAATACTCGGCAAGCCAAGCCCCTTACCTCCCAAAGAAACCCCATAGGGCTGGAAGACCTCCAGGAGGTCAGAACTGGGGACTCCCGAGGCCCCTCCCGTAATGGGCATCACCACAGGGCCTGCTGTACCTTCCCTCCCAGCCCCAGGATCTCCTTCCCGCACCGGGAAAAGCAAGGTCCTGGTCCTGGCTCCTTCCGGGGTTTGGGGAGGTGCAGAGGGACAGGGCCTGAGGAAGTCCTCCCTGCTTACAGCTCACAGCATTTGAGAAACTGCAGGAGACGAAAGGGAGGGGAGTTGGCTCATTCTGTTGAGAGCCCACACTTCATCCTGGAATTATTTTAGTTGTTTTTTTTTTCCCTCTCGTCACTTTTTTCTTTTCGAGATAGGGCCTCACTATGCAGGTCAGGCTAACTATAAACTATGCAGCCCAGGATGGCCTGGAAGGCCTGGCCACCCTCCTGCCTCAGCCTTCTGGAGTGCTGGAATTACAGGCCCGCACTACCACACCTCGCTGAAATTTTCACCTAAAACAGTCAGTTCTGTGGACTGCGCCCTGGTAGAACTTAACATTCTCAGCAATGCCCTATCCTGACCGGTCAACAGGGCAGGCACACCTGCATCCTGGAGTGCAAAGGGAGACAGCATTGTGCAGTCCTCGATTCTCATCCAGAGACGCAAAACGTCTAACGCGGGATTTGGCTTACTGTAAAACTGAGGCGAGGTCTCCCTCTTGTGGTTGCTTCCAGGGTTGCAGGACGCCCACTTGGCCAGCAGGGGACTGGCGAGGCTCACCCGAGAGCCAGGTTGGGGAGGGTCCCGTGAGGAAAGGTCCCTAACCCTCCACAGGACCTGGCTGTCAGCTGCAGTGAGGCTTTCAGTTCTCAGTCAAAAGTTGGGAGCCAAATGTGATGTGGCTGGGGCAGCGGACCTGGTGACCCGGACAGTCTGAACTGAGATCCCAATTCTTATTTGTAAGTATTGGGGATTGGACACAGTCTTTGTACTAAGCTACGCTCCCAGCCTTCTCTAAAACATTTTTTTTTCAGCAGGGTCTTGCTAAATTCCTATGGTGGCCAGGCTGGTTTTGAACTTGTAATTCTCCTGATTAAACCCCTCAGAGAGCGGGCATTACATGAGTGGCACCACCATTCATGCCCTGGTTGAATTTACCACTTAAGAGGGGAAAAAAAAAAAAAAAAAAAAAAAAGAAAGAAAAAGAAAAAGAAAAAGAAAAA